CTCCCCAGCCCCTGCCATTTGTTGATTTGCTGGTGATAGCCATTCTGACAGGTGTGAGCGGATAGCTCATTGTGATTTTAATTTGCATCTCTCTGATGATCAGTGACTTTGAACATTTTTTCATATGTCTCTTGGCCATCTGTATGTCCTCTTTGGAGAAGTGTCTATGTAGGCCCTTTGCCCATGACTCCTACAATTTTAATGCAAGTTTTACTTTTCCCTTTTTTAAAAGAGCAAGCAAAGAGGAATCTGATTTATTGAGCAGTGCTGTGTCTCAGCCACTGCTCGGGTGCTTTTTCTCAGTCTTTGTCAGTAGGCATTTCTGTGGTGACCCCACTTAGAGGGTGAGGGAGCCGAGGCACAGACCCGTTGGGAGGCTTGCCTGTGCTTCTGCCCTGTGAATGACTGACCCCGGATTGAAGCCCAAGTCGTCTGAACCCAGAATGATTTCTGAGAAGTGGAATTAGAGCTTCATTCCTCTGCTCTCCCTGGTTTGATATATTCTCTTTTTTATGACGCTTTGAGAATTAATGCTAACAAACAGATTCAGAGAAGTGTATTTCCTATTTTGTGTGGGTATTGTTGGAATCTTTTTTTGAAGACTATGAGGGAGAATTAATACCTGCAGTTTGTTACTACTTTATTAGAAAGAAAATCCTCTTTTCTCTTTTTCATTTTTTCAGTGTAACTATTCTAGCTAAAGCGTATGCCTGGAGGAGATGAGAAGGTTTTTGTTACTCTATGCTACACAGCAAGGACAGGCAAAAGCCATAGCAGAAGAAATATATGAAAAGGCAGCTGCCCATGGATTTTCTGCAGATCTTCACTGCATCAGTGAATCAGATAAAGTAAGAGCTGTTATTCCTGCGGTTTTTACTGTTTTATGCTTTGAAGATATTTTGTTTGGGAGTGATGTTAAACAACAAAATAGGACTTTATCCTTTTCTCTTAAATACTCAGAAATTATTATTTTATCAAGCGTTTTAAGATTCCTACCAGCTTTTATTCTTTTTTTTACACTTATCTATCCATTTGAATTAGACTAAACTGTCTCAAAAACTGAAATAATTACTTACTCAACCAACATGGAAGCAGTAGTTTTTGCCTTGTTTATCTCACGGGATGCTGTGAGAACAACGAGATATATGCATTCGCATGCATATGTGTGCTTTCCACCTCATGAGTCCCAGGGCCCCATTTGTATTCCTCCAAATAAAGACCTTGTCATTTGTGTCAGAGTTCCTCCAAGTGAAGGGGTACTTAATTCTTTTGTGAAATAGAATTTAAAGCAGGAGTGTAAAGATCAGGAGAAGACTCCGCTTCCTTAGGTCAGGGACTACTTGTGCATTCAGTCCCTGCCATAGGATCCATAAGAACTTAACAGATCTATGTTCTTATAGTTAGTTCTGTTGAGACCTCCAGATTTTACTGTTTTAAATAATCCAGGTCGTAGCAACTAGCATGGGCTTTCGTTCAAGCACAAGCTGAAGCCTTAGCCACTAAGCAGTCAAATTCAGTTCAGTACTTCAAAACCTGCCCTGCTGGTACACTCTCACTCAAGTTCACAACTTCCCCTGTTTTTTCCCACGTGCCTAGTTCAAAAGAATTATAAACTCAGTTCAAGGAAGGGCCAAGGTGACTCCTGATGTAGTCACTCACCTGATAGGGAGTGTCCTGGCAGACACCACCAGTGGGCAGGTTTTGTAATTCTGTAGTAACTTCAAAGTAAGTTTACATTATGGGTGCCACAGTCTGAATCTTACAAAAATACGGTCATCATATAACTAATCCTGACTTGGCCCCTTGGGCCACCTCACCACCTAGGTCTGCAGCTATTTGAAAGTTAGGTGAGTAGTTAGTGTTTTTCAATACCAAGTTAGTAACATCTCCTCAGGTGAATGGTTTCTCCAGTTCTTGATCCAAGTTTAAACAGATAGCTCTCTACTTCCTAGATCATGTGAGTCCTTTTCAAGGTGAAGTTACTTTAACAGACTGTGTAGAGTTTAATACATAATTTGTGAAGTGTACAGTGAGTGTTGACTCTCCTATAAAATTTTAGCTCAGATTTTTATCTATTAAATCAGCATGAGAAGTAAAGTGAATTCCTTTGAGCCAAGCTAGATGCTATTGTTAGCGGTAGGGCTCATCGAATCATACATAGAAGTGTAGTGCTCTTTTTGAAATATTTACATTTAGGTGAACATCAGAATGAAGAAGCTTGATTTTAAGACTTGGAAGCACCGATGATCCCAATTCATCACTAATGTTCTCAGCTCTCTGATTGCCAAGTGCCCTGATAGTGAAGAGTAACAATTTGCCTTCCCAAGTTGAAAATGTTCTGTGTGCCTCTCTGCCCTAATGCCATAGGACAGATGACAGGTTCAAGACAAGAAACTAAGCTGATTGTAAGTCAAAACTACACATAGCAGTAGAACTGACGTGACATTCTTGTTTTGTAGTATGATCTAAAAACTGAAACAGCACCTCTTGTGGTGGTGGTTTCTACCACGGGCACTGGAGACCCACCTGACACAGCGCACAAGTTCGTGAAGAAAATACAGGACAAGACGCTGCCAGGTGATTTCTTTGCTCACCTGCGATATGGGTTATTAGGTATGTACTATATTTTCTGCTCTGACTGCGCTGTCATTACTGGCTTTAATTCTAGTATCTGAATGTATCTTTCTATCCAAATGTTATAGTCTATCTTAGACTCATAAATGGACCCTATTTTTGTTGAGAAAGTACATGGAAATGATTTAAAAAACGGAGAGATTTACGCTTTTACTTTTAAATTTGCAACCAAGTCTGAACATGTTAGCCCATTTCCTTACCAGGAAACATAGAAACAATTCTTAGTTTATCCAAGAGAAACGTAGCCAGTGATTGTTTACATTGTAGATGTACCTTGTAGGCTCAAGATTAGGGGTCAGTAAACCCTGTAAAGACCCAGATGGGTATTTTAGGCTTTGCATGCAGGCGATGTGGTCTCCGTAACAGCTCCTCAATTCTGCTGTGGGAGCTTGAAAGCTGCCATTACAGAATGTGAACAAATATATTTGACTGGGTGCCAGTGAAACTATATTACCAAAAAAGAAAATGGTGTATTTTGCCCACAGGCTATAGTTTGCAGACCCCTGCAACAAATCAGAAAAGTCTGTAAATACAGAAATTATGTTTTTTAAACCTAATCCTTGTTTTAAGATTTCCGTATTTTTCAGCCAATTCATAGAAAAAAGAATG